TATGTTCTTTTTCAAACAGTTTAAATGCCGAACCGAGCTCTCGGCTAATCAAAGAATTTCGAGCTGCCTTACCTTGGGTTCACGCTTCAGGGACAGTCGCTGAAATGGAATTAAGTAGGTTTATCGTTTTGAAACAAGGTACTATCTCATGAAGAAACACTTGAAAAAAAAACAGTCTGCATAGACTAGAGACTAAAGCAGACACTGTAATGCATGGCAACATTGCATGAACATTTTCAAGTTGCTCAGCTTTCTCAAACTGCTTACCTTTGGCATTTTAGCGTGGGGGAGCTTCTTGACCCAATTCATCATATTGAACTTCTTCTACAAAACAAAATAATATGGTGGTCAGGCAATAAGTTATCGTCCAGTGTGAATGCAAAAACAAATGCTAATTCGTGCTGCCCATACCTTGGACTTTTCGTTTTTGTCGCCTTCGGCTGCCTGAAAATAGAACCAGGGTGAGTGGATGTTTCATTTCATTGAAGAATGCTCAAATGTGTAAAAAAACGAAAATAGTTCCGCTTGGTGTGTCATTTTGGAAAATAATAACTTTAAAAGCATGACTTACGTTGTCCTCTTTAGCTTCGTGTTCCTTTGATTCTGCAGAAGGCTCTTTGGCTACGGTGGATGCTTCTTCCTGTACTGGATGTTCATTTTGCGTCTAAATCAGAGCCAAAGAAAATAAATGTAGTTTAAAAAAATTCCCTTGCAGCTTTCAGCGCTGTCTAGACTGCGTTCTGATGTTCAGACCTATATACCTGACTCATTAAACAATTAACTACGCTTAGGAATATCTAAAAACTACGACCTAGCCAGCATTCGAGCAAAAGCTCCCCTAAACGTTACTGTGAGCCGCACTTATGTCAAGCATTATAAGGTAGCACCTTGAGTAATGAAAATGTGGAGTTGATATTGCAAGAAAATATTCTACTGTTGATGTCTAATAAAACATTTTCGCAAGACTCACCTCTTCCTTGGGCATCTCGGCTGGTGAAACTTCAGTAGGTCCGCTAACTGCCATTACTGTAAAGTGATGGTTTATCTGTAAATTGATTCATCACACAAGCTGCGCATATTTATACCACCCGCATCTGGCCCTGAGTTATGATTGGTTTGACCTTGACCAACCGCATTGTCGCAAGTGTGAGTGATGATTACTAGCCTGAGCTTTTCGGGCTTGGCCTAGCCTCTGACAAACAACTGGTGACTCACGTGCGTGTTATGGTGGTCAAATAAGCGCTAAACTTCAATGGGATGATACGCTACCGTTTGGCACGACAACCAGCAAATTCGATCCGGACGCTTTGCTGATGGTGTGAACATCAAAGAATAGTCGACGCATGGCCATCACATGCTTGCTATTACTACCGCCATGTGAAAAGCATTGAAAAGCATCTTAGAGGCATTGTGAATGCAAATTTGTAACAAAGGCCACAAAACGGCGCAAATGAAGTTCAACTAATATTTGTTGCACTGGCATTCTTTGGTAGGCACCGATAGGAACAGGGCGACCCGTCGTTGCTAGAACCCAGAAAATCTACTGAACAAGATAACTCTCCTCCCTTTACGCCACTGGATTTTAGAAATCTCCTAGCATTCCCGAGTATGCTAGCGGATAAGATTTCTTTGCTTACTATAAGGAAGAAATGTATTATTAACTTCGGAGGATCTGGCAGAAAAGGGTTAATCTCCTGCTGACATAAGATGAAGGTTGGGAGATAGACATGACTGTTTGGAATTTTTAATCTGATCCTGTCAGCTTTAAGACCCCATGGACCACATTAATGTTTGGTGGTTTGTGAATATTTCGCGGCTATCCCGCGAAAGCTGATGGATTACAGCTCAAGTATTCATGTCACCCTAGGAGCAGAGTCGAAAACGGAGAAGCCGGAGGGATTTGTGGGATTCTGTGGATGACTAAATTATATCTAGTTAAGCAGTGTTTTCGGTCCTAAAACGTGTCAACTAGTTGAACTTCGATTTCCCACCACAGGCTCGTCGTACCAATTGCCTTTATTTCAACTCGGCGTTTTTCAGTCAAACTTCAGTCACTGACTCTCTCCTCGTGGGGTTTCCTTAAGACTATTTGAGAAAGCTGAATATCTGCACCAATCTCCGGATCGTCGTCCGCCTCCTGCTGCTAAGCTCTGTACTTTCGAGAGCATGTGTTTTGCTAGCCCACAAGCAGACGTGTCTGGCGCAAGGGATCATTGAGAAGACATTGCATTACCACCAGTTCCCTGCGTACGGTGTCAAGACAACAATTAACAGTCATATAGGGATCACTTGCTACACCATACTGCCAGCATAGATATCAGTCAAAAGCATGTGCTGTCAATATGATGTAGCAGATAACTTTATATGCATACTACTGGTTGCTTGTTGGCGGTTTAATAAGTACTACGTTGCCCATACAAGCGAACATGCGAGTCCCAGAAAGTAATCGAGAAGAAGACGACTCCATCGCTGAACCGATACTTTTATTTGCCTGATGTTCCGAGATCCGTCGCGAATTCGTCCTCAGAGACATAAGTAGAAAGCAGTAGCAGATACGGGTAGCGTATGCACAGGAGTTTGCGGTATTTATAGGATGCAGCTATTACGGCAAAGATACAACGACAATTAACGATAATTACCTTCTTGCGTGTTGACAGTTTGTCGAACGGCATGCTGAACTTTCATCACGCGTGGTAGACTCGGGCGCGACGATTGCTCGGCCATCTGGTCCTCCGGTGTTGGCGTAGGATGACGCGGTGGCCTGTCCAATCCCCAAGTAGCGACTTGTTTTGGCTAAATTGACTGTATCCTATAAATACTGTAAAATCCTGCGCATACGCTACCCGCTCTCTGCTTATGTCTCTAATGACGAATCCGCGACGGATCTCGAAACGTCAGGCGAATAACAGTATTGTCCCAGCGATCGAGTCGTCTTCTTCTCGAGTACTACTTTGTTATCCCGCTGTCCCGGAGTCCTTTGGAGCACTCGCGGTTTTCAGAAAGCATTCTCACGATCCATTTTCACGTAGTGTTTTTCATTCTTTATTCCTCGTCGCAGGCTCTCTGGAAGCGAACAGGCCCTGATACACTTCAGTTTGTTTTAAAAGCACTCACATGGTTTTCCTGCATGTGAGGGAAACAACCATCATCCTTAACTTTAAAAAAAACTGTCTTCTAAGCCACAGGGCTGACTGGTGAAGTCTAATAAGGCAGAAATGATCATTCCGATCTCCCTGGTCTTTTTCGGTAGTATTGTTCAATCTTGATCAGTTTTTGCTTGTAATAGAATCAAGGTTATTCCAAAGAAATCTCATGTTGTCTTTCCTGGATGTCTGGAGTAACTGCTCACTCCCTCACATTGACGATTTTTCCGACCTGAGAATTGGCGGCGCATTTTGCTGATGTCAGTGTTAACTAGTCTTCGATCCGCATTAGTATTTAGTTTGTGATCACTTATTACTGATAACCGATGTCTTGCTCAGACGTCCCTAGTGGTATCCAGTGAAAGCATTAAGACTTTTTATAATCGAGTATCTCTTTCAATTTCATAAGCGAAAACAACGGCAAATGAAGCTAGGGTGACCATTTCTGGCCCATTTGCTAGCATCAGCTATCCCATTATTCCTCATTTTTATAGTCTTCTATTACTGCTGGGTGCCTAACGACTGACTGCAAGGGTGCTACTTCG